ATTAAAATCAAACTTTTAGTAAATTTTGGTACAAATTAAATAGTTATGAATTTCATGAAAATATGTTATTAAAATTAATTGTTAACTTTAATTTAGATTAAAATTTAAATTTCAATCGATAACAAACGTGATTTAACAAAAAAAAATAGAATCACAAAAGTTGGGGGGACCCCCCCTTGGGTCCGCCCATGAACATATCGAGAAAGTCATGTAAAAAATGTCGAGCATATAAAAAAAAATCGCACAAATAAGAGACGTTTTATTTGACTTGACAAACATTAGTTAAAATTCCAAAATAAAGAGTGAGGATGAGTCCTTAGTGACCTATGAACTTGACAATTTTGAGTTCTTGCTATCAATCTCTTTGAATGACTTCTTATTTCATTCTTCGAAATTTATAGAGAATTTGAATTTTCTAATGCCACGGATGAAGCTAACAAATGACATCGGGAAAATGCATCGTTCAAAGAAAAAACTTAGTTCGATCAAAGTGATAGTAATGAGATAATTCAATCGTCTGAATAATTTTTTAATTTCTTTCTCTTTATAATTAATCAAACTAGATCTTCACGTCAAACTCACTCGAACAACTTAAATAATATGAAGTGATATTTGGGTTTGTCTTTAATTTGGAGAAGTTAAAGCAGCCAATATTGATAGTTTGTTGAAGTCTTAAGAAAATATTAAGAAATATCTAAAACGCGATGGAGGTTCCAACACTAATGAAGATGATTTATATTTAGAGTTGATGGTGTTGAAGTGTTACTTATCAAGTGAAACAAAAAGAGTAGTTGACGTTATTTGAAGAAGATTGATGGTTGTTTTCCACATACTTATATTTTTTTATAAAACTTTGCTAACCGTACCGGTTAGAGTTGCATGTGCAAAAAGAACTTCTCCTGGTTGAAATTAATCAAGATTATATTCGATCAACTATATGAAATAGAAAGACTATCAATTGAAAAATAAATGGTTGAATAACTATAATATGCAAATTTGATTAACATTTTTTGCCTCTAGCACTGCAAAGGCGAGTAGTATGTAAGTGATTATATGGAACTTTTTTCGTCCTTGTTATGTGATTGTAATATAAACATTTTTGAATATAAAATTTTGTTTGTTGTTTTATTATTTAATTTTAAGTTAAAATTTAGTTTCATAAAATTCTTATCAGTATACTACGATTTGGAGTCCCAATTTCTAAATTTAGCCTCAACCCCGGAAAATCTCTAGTAGAGTCAATGGGTCAACGATGACAAATCTCTAGTTGATGATACAATGGTCCTAACTCTAGAAAGTAGTGGATTAAGAGGAGCTCGACCTCAACACATAGAAGCTCTATAATCAACAAAAAAATTGATGAGCTAAAAAAGACGAGTTATTACTATCAATCTCGTCAAGAACCTATAAGATCTATAAGTCACAACCATGTGGTTCAAGAAGCATGACCCTTCTACTCCACAATAGTGTTAATCACAAATATCAGACCATTCATTGTATATGATATGAAAAGTATGGAAATTACTAAAACTTGGCCTACCACATTAATTTGTTGTGTGTACAATGATTTACTGAATTGAAATCGTCTGTCGTTAAGTATTATAACATTTTTGAACAATCACTCACATGGTACAATGATTGAATCACTTTTGCAACGATTACAAGCAATTTTCAATACTTTCAAATCTTGCTCTAGCGCAAAAATAAAAGTAAAATAATTCTTAAATCGATTTTTCATAAAAAGTACATAAGATAAAATGATTTCAGAGTATTTTTTTTTCAAGAAAAATAAGAGGTTTAAATATTCACTTTGAGTGTGATTTGAATCGCCGACTCCTCACATAAATTCTACACCTTTTGTCACTCAACCAACTAATCCAATTTAATTATTTCTTTCAAATAAAATATATGATGTATGTCTGACATCCTAACAAAAGAATAACTTAGCCAAAAGTAAAGAAAGAAACTGATGGAGGAAGGAAAAAGCAAGTCTTTGTTTAAACTTGTTGGTGGAGGGATTCTAACATATTTATGTCTTCACAACTAACTTTTCTTGTAGAAGTTAACATTCTTTTGTGGAATTCATCTTCCAAACAATTACAATACATCTTCCAATGTAATGAACTTTCACACAAATGTTGTATTTTCTTTTAAAATTATACAAAAAAACTGTTGGATTAATTGCGCGTTGATATTTTAGATCATCATGACATCTAATATTATCTTGTTATCGTCTTCTTTCTACCACTCCAAAAGTTTGAACTATCTTCGAGATTCGACTACCTTGCTGGGTCAATCTCCTTTTTTTAGGCGTATGGCTACCTTCTAGTCATCACCTTTGAATTTCTCACACCATAAAAAAGTTATAATGTGCAATCCCGAGTCACTCTTCGATTTATTTTAATCATTGGGAGGAGAGTTTGATTTCAATTACAGTTGCGAATCTCTTACCAAACAACCTTGTTGATTATCCCGAGAAGATGGTTTTTTCTTTTAATTTGAATTAACGAGGAACTAAGCTACGTGCAAGAGATCGGATCTCTCGTACTAAAGAAAGAACTCTCTCTTATCCAACAAATGAGTAAAGAGTTCATTCTTTGAACCTATATTAAAATTTAAATTTTAAGGAAAAAAGGGGACGTCAAGGCCCGACAGGGCCCATTTGATACGCGCTTCCCACGCGGTTTGTGTGGACCAACTCTTTTCTCCACATACAGATTTACAGTACAATTTCCCGTTCATCTTGGCAACACCCCGCGCTTCTATTAAACCTCCCTGAAAGAATGTGAATCAAAATCAAACAGTAAAAAATTCCTCAAATTTAAAGACACCTCATTCGTAGAATGATATAAACAATTTTATCCCGTTAGAACGCTACTAATTTTATCATTTTTGTACCTATTATCATCCACCAGATCATCATTCATCACGATCCCAGAAAAAGGTTACGAAATTCGCAATCATTTGTATATAAAGACAAAGTTTTTGAATATATATATATATGTTTTCAGAATTTAGTTCTGGGACTATCTTTATAGGATAGCGGATGTTGGCTTTTTGGTCCCCTCATCCAACAACAATACTAGTTTGCTATTATCCGAAATCCTGATTTTTTCATTTTTATTGGTGATTTTGAATCCTAGTACTGTAAAAACTTAGAGGCAGGCTTGCTTCTTCTTTGCTGTCTGAGGGGCTTTGGAAATGTCACAGAAGCGGCAGCAGGAGGGCAATTCCACGGATGATACCCGTCCTCGAAAAACCCCTTCTTTTAAAAGGTGGGGTTAATGATAATAACAATTTTGTGTGTTTATTTACCTTATACTTGGTATTTAATTTTGCTGATCGCAGGTCTGATTATTGTTCATTAGTATGCTTGGTTTTAATAGTTTTGGTTTGGAATTGTTTTAATTTGAAGTGGGTTTTTTTTTTTTGTTTCAAGAACCTGGATTTAGTTTGATTGGGGAACTAAGAGGTGATTTTGGATTAAGGTTTTAAGAAGGGAAACAAATTGCTTCTGACATTTTATGCTGTATGGATGGAGGAAAAGCTTAGGAATTGCTATCTAATTGATAGGTTGTTTATGAATGATCTTTTCTGGTCAGATTTTTGAGTTAGTCGATTGTTATTTGGTTTATGGGGGTAATAATAAGAACTGAAATTAATGCTAACAAGTATATACAGCAGAAATAAAAATACTGAGAATTAGAATTCTACTTACCATTAAATGGTGAAAGCAACATCAGTTTACAATATGAAAAGAAAAGAGAAGGAAGAGAAATCTACTTACTATTAAATGGCGAACACGACAACTACTGTTAAATGGCGAACACGACAACGGTTTACAATATGAAAAGGAAAGAGAAGGAAAAGAAATAAGTTTGTTCAACAAGATTCCAAGTGAATTAACAATGCATAACGTTGAAGTAACTTAATCCCAGCTGACATAAAGGTCGAAAAGACATGTTAAAACTATTGTCTAAAGTTACAGCCCTAAATCATATGCATGAAGAAATGATATCGGGGAAAGCCTAAATGGTTGCCAGAAACTGTTGGATTAGATGGTCATGAGTATTGGAAAAGTTGAATCTATAGATTATAAAAGTAGGAATTCTAGTAAGTGTAGTTCTAGATGATTTAGTCATGATGTACTAATACTAATTTTTTCGGGGTATTTTTTCATAGTGTGGTACTGGAGGTAATGAACTTGCAGAAATTGCAACATCTTATGGAACCAGTTCTGGAGCCCTTGATTCGCAGAGTTGTAAGTTCATGGCTATGATATTATTGCTTTAATGTCTGCTTTTGACCCTATTGATAAATTGTTTTCTTAATGTCTTCACTTTGTGATTGAAATTAATTCTAAATTTAGGAAAAAAAGAAATAATGTTGTAAAATATGAGTTGCTTAGGTCAGACTGGATTTCTTTGCCAAGAAGACAAGAACACATTTTTAGCGGTCTCTAGTCCATTTCTCTCTTAGATGAACAGCCAACAGAAACTGCCACTAGATTTGCAGGTCTGAAGACTAAATCCTATGAGTTGTCAATGGATATAAACCTTTTCTCCTGCGTGTTTAACCATTATATATTGTTGATAAAAGTCCTTTGTTGGTAATAAACTTGAGCAGGAGACTTTGTACTTCTCATTTTCAACTAGGCCTTTTATAAAGTTGTACAAAAAATTTGTGGAAATTGAACTTACGTGTGCATGTATATTCAACTAAAAATTTCCTACAACTATTTTATAGTTAGGTAAGCTGTAAGCATACTTAAGCTGAATTACTCTGTCCAAAATTTTGTTTGGACTGATATGTGGATGACTGCTATTAGAGGACCGTCCATATGGTCTTTTTGGTTCTGTGTTTTCTTAAATACAATAATTAGTGATGGATTCCAATGTGAGCTTACAGGTGAAAGAGGAAGTTGACTCAGCATTAAAGAAGTATTTGGTCAGCATGAACAGGTATGGCATTAGATTTTAATGGTAAAGGTAATAAGATTAGTAATACTGGATATTGTTGCCTTATCGTTTTGCTAATTCATTGCTGACATGCTCTAGTACTTTTTTAGGAATTGTGGGAAAGATTTACATCCTTCTGAATCAAGGAGTTTGCAGTTATGTTTCTTAAATACTATATCCCTTCCAGTATTTACCGGAAGCCGTATTGAAGGAGAAGAATGTAGCGATCTGAAAGTAGCTTTAGTTGATGATCTTACAGGAGAAGTTGTTTCCAGTGGTCCAGAATGCTCTGCGAAGGTAGAAATCATAGTTCTTGAGGGAGATTTTGATGGTGATGATGGAGACAATTGGAAGCTTGAAGAATTTAAGAATAATGTTGTAAGAGAGCGGGAAGGCAGGAGACCCCTTTTAAGTGGGGATACAATTTTGACTCTTCGAGATGGCGAGGGTTCAGTGGGCGATATTTTGTTTACAGATAACTCAAGCTGGACAAGAAGTCGTAAATTCAGGCTAGGGGCCAGAGTTGTGGACAACTTCGATGGAATCAGAATAAGAGAAGCAAAATCAGATTCCTTTGTTGTCAGGGATCACCGTGGAGAATGTGAGTTCTTATTTTATTTTTTTCCGCTATGTTTATAATTTATTTCTAGGAATGTTCAATAATTGTTGTGGAATAAGGGAACCAATTGTCGCAGATACATTCCTCACCAAAATATAGAAATATTCTGTACCATTATTCATTATTATATTTATATTTTGCAAGGGATCTTGGTTTATGCTCTTCGTTTCTTAGTGATAGTAGAATCATTGGAGTTAGAGTTGGTTATTTGATCATCGGGATTCTTTTCCGATATACATCATGTTAATTTTAATCTATTCCCCCCCACCCCCCCCACCNCCCCCCCCCCCCCCCCCCCCCCCCCCCCCCCCCCCCCCCCCCCCCCTCTTCTAACTTGTATTTTTTGATATCGTGTCACTCTTATGAACAAGTGCGTCTATTGGTTTTTGATATACATGAAAATGGTTGTCAATATTCATTGGTAACTCATGAAACTTTAAATATTTTGATCTGAAAACTAGTTAGATCTTCTTTTACTTTTAGATCAGAGTGGTAGAATAAAATGTTGATATGATAATGTTGATTTCCTGTTATTTCCCCTGTAAGTGTACAAGAAGCACCACCCTCCATTTCTTTCGGATGAAGTATGGAGGCTGGAAAAAATTGGCAAAGATGGAGCTTTTCACAAACGCTTGAGAAAGGAAAGAGTAAACACTGTTCGAGACTTTTTGACTTTACTCTTCCTAGACCCAGAAAGGCTTCGAAATGTAAGTGTGTTGATTTTCTCTTGTATTTACAATGAATGATTACATTATGCCATACCATAATTTTAATTGATGTTGTGTATACATTAACATATGCGGAAATCTCACTGGTTTCAGTGTGCCCGTCTTCTTTACAAATTTAACTATTTCACTCTTATTGGAAACAAAGAGAAATCAATATTGTTCTTGCTGCTTGTATTAAAATCTTATCAGAGGAGTCGTTCATTTTGCACGGCAAATATGAACTTTGGCCTTTATTTTATGGGAGACAGACTGACAAACCCAGTATTCCTAATGTAGTCTGTTAGTCTCCTAGAATACCTAGCCTCCTTTTAAGGGGTTGCGCGCGCACGTTCAATTCCTCGTTATGCTTTACCAGCATGATGACTTTATCCATATCTATGGTTTCCATTACAAAGAACGCCTGTTCATTAGGAAGTGTGGAGCGATTGCATTCAAATTTGAATTATGTGCAGCCTCTATAATTTTGTATTTAGTTATTTATTTCTGGGGTTAAGAATCATTAGCATGTATCTCACTGCTGGGAGGGCAAGCAGACCTTGAACAGAAAAAAAATGAAAAATGGAAGAGAATTATTTGTGTTTTGTGTATAATATTATATTAACAGTTTGTTGAAAATCCTACAGATTCTTGGTACAGGTATGCCTGCTAAAATGTGGGAAGCTACAGTGGAACATGCTCGGACATGTGTTCTTGATAAGAAATTGTATTTGTACAATGCTTCTGGATCTCAGCAGAAGAATGGTGTTGTTTTCAACGTTGTAGGACAAGTGCTGGGGCAGTTCTTGGGCTGCCAGTATATTGCCGCTGATAAGCTGTCTGAAGCAGAAAAGGCAGGCTTGTCATATTCCTTCTACCTTTCACCCTTTTTCTTCCTCTTCTTTTGAGTTTACCTTCCCACAGAGCATGGCAATTTTGCTTTTTCTGTTCGAAACAAAAATGATGATCTGAGTGAATTTTGTTTTCTTATCATCTGTATATCAGGCTGATGCACGTAACCTGGTAATATCTGCATATAGAGATTGGGAGAAAGTTATTACTTTTGATGATGAGCCCTCTCTCATGGATGCCATAATGTGTTCGTCCACTTTTCTGTCTTCTTCGAATCTACTGCCAGAGAGTTCTTGTAAGATTGACAGACGTGTGTATTCACAACAAAACCCCTCTTCACCGGATATTACACAATCAGTTTATTCACTTGGAGGCTTGAGTTGCTTGGACGATTACTTTCATGGTTTTGAGCAACCTTTGGGTTTTCCTTGTGAAGTTGCAAACACCTTAACATGCGATGCAGATTCCATGGCTCGAGCATCCTCTGCAAATGAGCATTTGATGTATCTCAATGCAGGTTCTTCACGTCAGAATTCAATAAAAGAATCATCAAATGATCCAAAGTTAGCGATTCCTATTGACAAAGCTCAGAGAAGATGGACTAAATTATCCAGTGTGTTGAAATGGTTTATAATATTCAGAGTTGTGGTGAAAAGAACTGGTATTCGAAAAAAACCATGATATTGTTAATGGAGATATTTGAAAGTTGAACACCTATAACGTTGCAAAAGCAACAATGCTACCAGTTTGAAGCACTGCCCGACTCGATATCATTTGCTATTATCGAGTAAGAATCGATGAAGTTGTGTATGAGTCACGTACGCGTGTTTTCTGTGAAGTCAGTGGACATATCCATCAAAGGTGCTATATGAAGTTGTAAATTTTATTTTCATCAAGTTGTCCAGTGTTAATGTAGGACCATGTTTTATACAACTTTTTAGTGCGAGTAACATTGGAAAAGTCTCAACCGTTGATGGCCAAGTAACTGTGGAGATCGGGGCATGAAGTAGGGAAATTAGTAGTGGCGGTTTCCAATCTTTGCTCTGTGTTGTCCTTTGGTCTTCAAATTTTAAAAAGGAGCATTTTTTCTTCAATTCAACTAAAATGAAAGGTTGGTAATGAAATGCTCCTTGAAGGTTGAGGACCAAAGTGGAATACAGGTCAAAGGTTGGGGACTTCTGCTGTATTTTCGTCACAAAAGACCCCATTAGAATTGGTATGGGCTTATTCGAGTGGGTTCATATCCAAATAATCACAAAAGTGAATAGTGAGTGGGTAGGCTTTTCAGAAGGCCTTTCTGAAAAATTATAAAGAGGACATTACAGCCTCATAGATTTTTAAAATGTGATTTTCATAAATCCAAAATCAACTTTAATAATACATAAATCAGGTTTTAATTAATAATTTTTAAATTAATTTCTATTTAAATCAATCATATACAATTTCAAACCCTAATTCTTTCATTTTCTCTCCCATCTCTTCCAATCCCCGTTGCCACCACCACCCGCTCAGGGACTTCCTCATCGGCACCGTCTGGTTTCTTCGCAGTACATGCGTTTGTGCCGTTGAGACACTCACCGGAACCCCTGCCTTCACCACTATACAGATTCGCCGCCCTTCCGGTAGCTTCCATGGCGTCCTCAACATTGTTGCCACAGTTTATGATTCGTCTGACTTCGTGATCCTGAAGAAAACCCCTGTTGTTAGTTTCCGCGATATGATGGGGGAGGAAAAGCGTGAGCCGAAGCCGCGCCGGAGCAAAATCAGCCACGATGGATCCAAGCGGAGTGAGAGTCATCTGGGGGTGAATCTTGCGATCTCTCCTCGTTGGATCTATTGACGACGTCGAGTCGACGTCGAGTCATCATCGGTAGCTTCGACGGCAAAGGTGCCTTGCACGATAAATGGTAGTAGTGGTGGTTTACATGTGTTTGGTGGTGTTTTTTGTTGGTGGCAATGGTGGTGGATCTAGTGTTGATGGTGGATATGGTGGTGGAGGTGGGTTTTGTTGGATCAACGGTGGATCAGACATTGGCGTTGTTAGATTCAGTGGTGGTGGTGGTGAAACGTTGTCTGCAATGTTTGAAACAGTGATTTTGTTGCTAGGAAGTGGTGGTGATGGTGGTGCTGGGTTGGTGTTGGCGGCGGAGACGACGGTGGCATTGTGTTGGTCGTGGTCACAAAAGTTTTATTGATTGTGACCAATAAATGCTGTGTGATCTACAAAATTATTAATTTGTGACCTATAATTTGATGTTTTGTGATCAGAAAATAAGTTGCGTGACTTATAAATTTTGTAAATTGTGACCGATGAACAAATTGTGATTTTAAAATTTTTAATTTGTGACCAATGAACGAATTGTGACCTATGAAATTTTTGAATTGTGACCTTAAAATTTTTGAATTGTGATCAAATTGCATATATATGTGACCTTTATATATTTATTAATAAAATATATAATTAATTAATTAATTCATAAATAAATTTTAATGAAAACCTAATTTTTGAAATTTAAAACTTTTATCCTTAATTTGAAATGTTGATACTTAAAAACCTGATTTATGTTTTGTTCCCAAATATAAAGGGATAAAGGCGTAATTCCCTAGATTTGGGGACCAAACCGATATTTAAAAAATAATGTTGGTTACCAATTTAAAAACTTAAATATACGTTCAAAATCTCAATAGACAAAGCATCTTCAAGAGACTATTTTTTAAGAACATATTTTACAATTTGGAGAGTACAATTTTTGAAGTATTCCAACAGGTTTTTTATATTTAACACTTAATTTTACTATTACAATTTTTTTTTTCCCAACTTTTATTTTCACTAGCTTATGCCCAAATTATTATATTATTTTTCTTTATTGAAAATTGAAATTCTTTGAATGTATTTAATTATAGAGTGGATTTGACTATTCAAATTTGGAGAGACAAATTCGCTTTTTAAATTAAGATGTTAATTTGAAGGGTCACTTGAAGTATAATTTTAAAGAAAGACTCTTTTACAGAGTTTAGAAACATGAAACACATTAAAATCCATGAACAGGAGGATCTACGTACCTTGATAAAATAAATGAAGAGAAAGGAGTCAAAATTTACAACTGAGAATTAATATGATTTTGACTTTCTGAACGCTCATAATTTCACGTTTATAATTCCGTATCTTATTCTGCATCTAATTTGTGTTTTTTCTTTTCCAACCAAGTCCCTCTCAATTATAGCTTCGGGTTTCTTAGAACAAAGGAGGGACACATGATCACAGATTGTTAAGCATCAAGACCAAAGGAAACGTATAGCCAATGCCACAATAAGTAAGGAAAATCAAGGAAAAAAAAAAAAAGGAGAGAAGTTAAATGTACTTGTCAGTTAAGTCTAAGATACGATTTCCTTTACTCCAGACCTAAGCATAAACCTTACTAGCTCAGAAAATAATTTGCCAATAAGATAATGCGATGGTGATAATCAAAATAGTCCAAAATGTATTTAACATCTACGACAAATGAAACGATGCGTGCGCAGCAATAAACCAAAGCATTATAATGGAGAATAAAGAAATATGGTAGCCCAGATGAAGCGCCTGAACCATCACAATAGCCTGTACACGATTTTATACATCGTGCAATCCTGTTGTTTCTTTTGCACCTCTCCATTGGCTACAGCCGTTCACCCATCAAGGGCACCAAGTTCTTTCATGTCCTCCAAGAATGCCATGTACGAGTCATCAATACTCTGTGGTTTAGGTGCAGATGATGAGCTACTGGATTCTTGCCTCACAACACGAGCAGCTGCAGGTGGCCTGTTCATTGCCACAGCAGTTGATGGCTTTGTCTTTGGTTTTGGGAGCATGGACTCTCTCCTGACTCGTACAGATGCAGGAACCTGCAGAAAAAGCACGAAAAAACTTCAGGATAGAAAGGGTATGTTACTAACCTGCATATAAAGTAAGACACTAATTCCTTGGTTTTAAGAGCTATGCAAAGCAGTACATGACTATGTATGCATGTTTTGTGTGCGTGTGTGTAAGATTAGGTCACAGGTGTCTGCAACGTAATATCTATTGTTTGCCTTGGCCTTACAGCTCTTCATTCACTTCCTCATGCAAGTTTAAAAGAATTTATACTGCATAAATTATGAGGGTGCATGAAATACAAATGTAATTATCCGAGAGACTGAATATTAACTCGAATGATAAAAACTCTTAATTTAAAATTTTGTGTCCACCAATCAGTACAACTAAATTATTTCTACTAAAGAAATTTTATGGCTTTTAGTGCTAATGCTTGGCTGATAAATTGAACCAAATACCTCAATTATTCCTTGCATGGTTTTTAAATAATAAAATTGAAGGTTTTCAATGAGCCTGGTAAAGAAACACCTAATTTGATAATTTTGACAAGCAAAAATGTCAACTAGTAAATACTCAGCATCATCAGATTTACCCAAGCATGGCTCATATAATGAGCAAAGAGATGGATAAAGAGATC